GTAGTGGTTAAGTGTGGGGACTCCAATCTGGGAGAACCGGGTTTGATTCCCCACTCCTCCACTTGCAGCTGCTGGATGACCTTGGGCAAGCCATAGTTCTGTCAGGGCTGTTCTCTCAAGGACAGTTCTGAAAAGAGCCCTCTCAGCCCCGCCTACCTCACAGGGTGTTTGTTGTTGGGAGGGGAAGGGAATTTGTAAGACACTCTGAAATCCAATCTCCTCCTCCTCCTCTTCCTCCTCCTGACACAAGTTAAGAAGAGGAGTCTTACACCCACAGTCTTTAAGTTCACATGTTAGCTCAACCATCCTCCCCCTGCTACAAAGGATTTACGAATGGCCTTACCTCCCAGGAAAAGACAATAATGGTAGGCAGGGATCATTTCCTGCAGGAGCGCACAGGAGAGGAGCTCCGGCAGTAAAGAGCCCAGGGGGCGGGCACATGCAACAAGCCCCACCCCCTGCTCCCAGCAGCCCTCAGTCAGAGCAAGAAGCAGCCACGTAAGTTGCAGAGGCCCCTGGTCCAAAACAGTCCAGTGCCACCTTTAAGAGCAAGTTTTATTCAGGTACAAGCTCTCCTCTGCGAGGACAGATCTGCACGTCTCCCACCCCCCCCCCCACTAGAATCCAAAACAGTCCAGTGGAACCTGAGCGGTGGGTGTTGCCTTCTGACACACTTCTGGTGATGTCAGGGGGTGTGGCATGTGCAAATGAGTTATGCCAATAAGCTCCTGCACCTCTTTTTCTACAAAATGACCCCTGATGCTAGGAAAAGCTGAAGGCAGCAGGATTATATTTTTTTGCATTTTTTCTAATATGTGTGTGTGCATGCACCTGGAAGTCAAGGTGTCCTCTGGGGACTGACCCTTACTGGGGGCCTGGAGGATATTCAGAGAGGTGGCTGACTAAAGCCTGCCCCCACCTCCTGCCTTTGCTATTCCAAGGAGGTCTCCCACCCAATCACTTGCCAGGGTTGGTCTGGGCTATCCAGGTCACGGCAAAGCAGCAGTAATAGAAGACGACCCAACGGGAGATAGACGGACTCCGTCGAGGAAGCCCTGAGGGCCCTCAGTTTGCAAGACACTGAGCTAGGCTGTTAAGGACAGGACATTTGGGAGGTCATTGGTTCATCGGGTCGCCAGAAGCCACTCGATGGCCCATAACAGACACCGCACAGGAGTGCTCTACGGATCACCGAGAGAAGCACTTAGAGCTTTTGCATTAGGTGAGAAAATGCTTTGTAAATGCACACTATTTCCCTGACCTCGGATGGGTGCATCAGGGAAGACTGACGGGCATGAAGAGTTCTGTGTAAGCCATGCGCAATAGTAGTTGCAACGAAGTGTTTCTGTGCAGCTTGTCCGCATACACAGGTGTTTCCTTTTTGGCACCTCTAAGCAGGCTTGCCAATGGGGCGGGCGTCACCCCGTGGAGCTGTCTTGTTGGTCCTAAGAGGAACTGTTCCTCCACGCTGACGTGCCTTTTTGCCTTCTGTGCCAGAACCACTTCGGTCAAAGCTTTCCTTCCACCAACAATTGCTCTGAAACGTAATGTTCACCTGAATCTAAAAGCACAGAAGGTTTGCCTAAGTGATCATCCACAAGTGAACGCATCTGTCTCCTTCTCTACCACAAAGGTCACAGTCCACAGTACAGTAAAGCAAAACACAAAAAGGAAACTTCAAAAATTGCTGCAGTTTATATCACAAAAGTCTATCTTTCCATGTAATGCCGAAAGTCCATTTGTTTTTTTCAGACATACATTCAAAGCAGTATCTGGTGTTCACCTCCTAAGAACAAGATGGTGATCTCCTAAAAGTCTCACTCTCTTTCCGAAGTGCCCACATCTTGGTGACTTTCCTTATTTTTCAAAGAGCAATCCTTCCATTCTCAAAATATACAGTTTCTAATCCATGCCATGGAATAAATTCTAGTACATGTTTTCACAAAGCAGGCAAGCTAATCATAACAACCTTGCCCGCTTTGTGAAAACATGTATCAGAATTTATTCCATGGCATGGATTAGAAACTGTATATTTTGAGAATGGAAGGATTGCTCTTTGAAAAATAAGGAAAGACATCTTTGTGTTGTTGATCTCTGAGGAAGGCTCTACGAAATGGAAATCGTTAATCCGGAGAGTTTCGTCATCGTTACCTTGTGAAGACTTATTTGATTGTATGTCTGAAAAAAACAAATGGACTTTCGTCATTACACGGAAAGATAGACTTTGGTGATATAAACTGCAGCAATTTTTGTGTTTTCCTTCTCTACCACAGCAGCCTGTTTTGCCACCTGCCTGCCTGCCTGCCTGCCTCTCCAATTAGAAAGAAGCTCACTCAGCTGATGGGTGAGGGAGAGATCCAAAACACAGTGCCTTGGCAATCTGTGTTGTGTAGGAAACACACCTTTATTGCTTTTAACTGCTAACAGTATTGTCATGTTACATGGAAAACTGAAGAATAATCTGAAGCAAGTGGAAGTTTGCGGGGGGGAGGATATCTTCATGGCTGAAAGAGCTCCCTTAGAGAAGAGGCCATGATCCCTGGACTGGTGACTTGCTACATTCCGATAAAGGCTAACAGGCGAATCTATGCAAATTCACTTTGGAGTGTGGCCTTGGTTCCCACGGCAGGATTCTGCACAAGGTACGAAGCAGCTTGAGTTTCTCGAGGGGCGGCTACGTCTGGCACGTGGCAAACTATCCACGGAAACCGAGAGGACTTTGAAAAACAGTTTGTGGCATTAAGCCCGGTGCTTAGAATCATAGAGTCAAAAGGGACCGTCAAGGTCATCTAGTCCAACCCCCTGCACAATGCAGGAAATTCACAACTACATCCCCCCACACACACACACACTCCCAGTGACCCCTGTTCCATGCCCAGAAGATGACAAAAAAACAAAACCATTTCAGGATCCCTGGCCAAACTGGCCTGGAGAAAAATTGCTTCCTGACCTCTGGCGATCAGCATTTCCCTGGGCATGTAAGAAAGGGGCCATGAGAACTAAGCACTGAGGCAGCCCTTCCTGCCCTCCCTTCTCATGATCTGCCTCAGTTCACAGAATCCGCACAGCAAAGGGAGGGGAAAAGTCAAACCATCCCCAAAAGGGAAAATGCCAAAAGGAGTTCTTTGGAGCCCAGCTCTGGGCTTTTGTTCTGCTGCAGGAATAACTCACTGGGAATCATTTGTAGTTATGTGATGGATTCGTCTTGTTTTAACACAAGAGGACAGTTGTACAAATTGTAGCTGGCAGTTAAACTCCTGGTGACTCCCCGGCTTGGCTTGTAGCCAACGCAGTCAGAGTCAAGAGTGTCAACGGGTTGCAAGGTTATCCTTAACTCGGAGTCTGATTGTGACCTTCGACTACTGCAGAGGACTCAGCTATTTATTCTTTGGGGGTAAAAGACAAGGGAGTGACATGATCTTATGCCATCCAAGACATTTTGACAAATCTCCAAAAAAACAACAACACATCTCTTTG